AGCCCAGCCTGCTCATCGAGAACTCTCGTTCATTTGAAGCTGAAATAGACAATGTTGATATAGAAATAACGACTCAACCCCTTCCGATCTCGTCTTCCGCTCCCCCATTGCGCTAAAAGGACCTCAGGATGCAGAATGAAGCGCATCACAGCTCTGAAGCAAATATCATACAGATTCTTGAAGAGTGCGTACAACACAAGGTCGTGGAGGATCCGTGTGTCAAAAACTAACGGGGTCTCATTCTTGAGGGATCTTTGGACCGCACGTTCATTACAAAACGGAAACTAACCTTCTGAAGTTTTTGACATGTGAATCGATGCATGTGAAGCAAAACACATATCCAGACACTGATAACGCTGTGTCATTTTTTCTTCTATTGAGGCATAAGGGACATTTGTTCGTATCAAGCAGTTGGACACTGGATTCCGTTAGAAGCTGAACAAAGGCTACACTTGGAGTTTGACAATCAAGATTCAGAAAGGATCAAAGTACCTTGTGTGGAGCTGGAGGTATTTGGCCATACGCATGTTTCTTTCTCATTTGTAACCCAAAGTCAGTATTATACATGAAATCAATGAACTGAACAAAGAACAGCCCATAGCCGAACAATCGGGAGAAGACTCCAGGAAGAGCCAGGAAGTATTGCCACACGCGATTTAGGACCCTGAAAGTAATTAGTGCGTAGGAGACATAGTATCCATTGAAACAGAGGCGGATCTGTCACGAAGCCTACCACAAGGGGGAGGAGGGGAGAGGAAGGGGGGGGGGTGAGGAACATCACTTACGTGTCGCATCATCGCATGCACTTGCATAGTATTTCTTAGATAGGACCAAAAACAGAGAGAGCTGTTCGAACTGAGAGACGCGGACGCAGTGGTAGTCGAGAGACCGACGCGCTGCAGCATTGCTACGTCGAGTGGGTTGGATCCTGGCGCGAATTCTGCGTACGTCACACCGCTTGCGTTTCGCCGCAAATCGTTATAACGCGGGGGAGGGTGAGTGGGGATAGAGGAGCGAGCGTTAACAAAAATAGTGGAGCAGACACTACGAACGGTCTACATCTTTATCGAGAGCCGAGCCAATTGGAAGGGGATTGGAGGTGTTCGTTGGCAGACAAAATAAGCAGAGGCTCCAGAATGAGCGGGCCAATCAAAAAGGGTGGTTGCTGATTACATGCCTACTCCTGCTAATTTGGTGCTGCAATTGCAAATAGTGGCTAATTAAGTTCACAAATCAACATGGAGGTGCTATTTGACTGTACAGCGAAGGAGAGGATAGAAGAAGCCGCAGAAAATACCCAAGATAAGGTTCACTCGTCTCAGTATTGAAAGAGTATGCTACAAATGGAGACCCAGAGACGCTCAGCGAAGCGGGAGAGAGAACAAATCACTGCGGGCATCAGAGCACGCGAACAGATAACCGCTGGTGGGAGATAGTTGTGTCTCGTGGGGGGAGTCAGACAGACAAGGGCACGTTCGAAGTTATAGATCGTTGACGGCGGAGTCAGACAGACAAAGCCACCTTCAGAGTGAAGCGAGAAGCCTTTGGCGTTATTCGAACACATTTTCGGTGGCGCAGTGGTATACACTGTTCGACTGCGAGCCTCCCAATCGTGGACGTATGAGCGATACGCCTACGGGTATCTCGGGTAACTGAGGAATTTGTCTGCTGGGCCAAGCGCAAAATGTGTCTGCAGCGCAATGGAAACGAACGGTTGCTTGTGAATGGGACTGGAGCCTGCTAAAACCAGACGTACGGTGCTGAGCAGGAAACGAACTGACCCTGACGACTGAAGATGCATTGGGATCTTCTTAAACAAATCCATATCCTGTTGTGTTAACTTCTCAAGGCGAACACCGGCCAACAGGAGGAAGGGAGAGTGGACTGCTGATCGGTTCGATATATACCTGAACACTGAAAGTTGATGGGTTGATTGTAGCCTTCGAAACTCCATCTACGGGAACATTCAATAATAATAAAAAATAATTCTAGCTACTTGCAGCGAACTCCTACTCATTTCCAGTGTCCGCAGTATAAGTCTACTTTCAGTATTTTGACCTTTGCGACAACTACTCATAGCATTTGAGCGGAATCTCCCTCTCTGTGCCTGCAGCTACGCCCCTTGTTGCCCTCTGATATCGACAGTACGTATGCCCGACGTACACAAATAAAATCTTTGAAACAGATTAATGAACTATGTTGTAAAATCTAATAAATGAGAATTATTGAGGGGGGGGGTCGAAAGCAAAGAGATAGCTCAGCTTCCGTTTCGCACGTGCCCTTAGACGGAAGCCGAGCAAAAGCATATTCCTCCTTCCGTGCTCTTCAGTAAGGAAAGGAAGAAAAATCAATTGCAGCAAGTTTATAAGGTATAAAGTAAAACGTAAAGTAAAAGCAGTAGTAAAACGGCTCCCATGCGAAGGAGAACTACCATGATAAATGAGAAGGTCCCTCAAACGTTCATGACCCATTATCTATATAATTACTTCATTGGACACTCTACTATACGCACTTCCTATATTAAATACTTAGTCCTCACCCTAAATGGAGAATCGTCGTTGCTAGTGTCAGCATCCTTTTCAGCCACGGCCAAACTCGCAGAAAAATCTTTCCCAGCCTTATTCGATGATCCTGGAAAGCGCTCAATTGTTAATAAGATTATGAAGAGTCACAGAGTTCTAATGACTTCAGTACATTCATTCAGCGGAGTTTGAAAGAAGCACGCATTGATCTAGCCCTTGAGCTATTCCACACCTTCACTGTACCCTATACCCCTTACAACCATGTTCCCTGTGGACGTGGAGCGTGTTCTCAACATGTATAAGCATACGATGAAGAAACAGCGGGTGCCTGTCTAACAGATCGTACGATAATGAGGGGTAAAAAAAACACAAACGAGCAAGCTATTGTACGTGTGATAGCAATGGGCGTCGCTAGTCATAGGAGGCGTGGCTAGCCATGAAAGTAGACCTCTCATGTCCTTTCCACGCACTTTTGAGATATGGAAATGGCACATCTCTGAAGTTGTAGACCTGGCCACTTCACACATTAATTAACTTGATCCAGCTTATGTATGGTGCCTCTGGTTTACAGGTATTCTTGTTCATCGCAAACTGTTGGCGTGACTGCACCTGATCCCATCATCCTATCCCCCTACTCCCTCACAGCAACTCAGCGTGAAACTGCACAACTGCTAAAATGGCCCCAAGAAGTGGTGGATCCAAATTCTCCACAGAAACAACTCCCAAACCAATTTTTACCCTCGTCATTGCTGGAGCATACCACAGGCGATCCGTCCATTCCATGTGCCATTTATCGAATTTATCTCGAACATATGGCCATAGTACCTCGAAAGTTGGATGATTTCGAAATGAAAAAATGTTTTATAAGGAGAGCAAAGCAAAATTGCCAAGACCAAACTCACTAGTAACATTAGATTGCGAATACGAGACCTAAAGTCAATTGGTGATTTTCCCGTTGCAAGATAAATTCGCTTCATTCCGTAGAAATTCTCGGAAAAAGACGCGCCTGAAAAGATCTCTCGGTCTTAGACAGTTACTAGAGCGTCTCCTTGGTCCCAGGATTTCCCTGCACTAATTCATTTTGTCGTTTATTTGCTAGGAATCGGGTAGGTGAATGAGATGAAGCAGGCACACCCCCACATTGAGCGTGGCGTACTACGGATGGGCGGTGCTTGCTATAAAAATACGACTCGTATGGCAATAAGTATGCCCCTCAAGATGGCTGTTGCCATAGATGCGAGCCCTTTCCGAAAAATTTCGAGACTTCCTAGGGAGGCTTGTGGAAGTGCGCCTCAAACTAACCTGTCCGCGCCAATCTTCGCTCAAAAAATATAATAGGTGCAGGTCAACTACACTGCGTCCCATAAGTATAGTTCCACCCATAAATCTCACATTATCCCGCCCTACACGACGTTTTAAAAAAAGCCTCGAGGCAGAAAATGTGGTTATAACCAGTGCCAATTTGTACGCCAACACCGAGAACTAACTTTCCAGAGCGACTACAATTTTCTTTATTTTTTGAAATTTCATACTTTGACAATGTCACAAAAGTATAGTTCCACCGCATATTTTCCCGCTGCGTCTCATTTTCTTGGGTAAAACTGTCTCATCATCATTACTTTTCACCTTTTCCAAAATATGGCGAGAGGATATTCATTTTCGGTCTTCCAAAAAAAGCAGATTATCGCAAAGAAGGCTCAAGGACTGTCGAATCGTCAAATCGAAAGGGAGTTGAGCCGCAGCCATCATGTTATCAATAATTTTGCCAGGGGAACCCGCAGGATATGGAATCAAAAACAGCTCTGGGCGTCCTCCATTGCTCTCTGATCGGGAAAAGCGCCGTACTTTGAGAGAAGCATCAAATTCTACAATGTCGTGTCGGTAGGTAAATTCAATTTTGAAGCTTAACGTCTCGAAAGAGATCGCTGTCGGCGTGTCTTAAAAAGGTAAGAGTTCATTCTCAGGAGGAAAATGAGGAAGGCACCGTTCTTAACAAACACCATCACGAAAACCGGACTGCCTCCGCTAGGTGCTGCCGAACCGAATGGAGTACGGTTAGCTTATGGCAGTGATGCCCTACTGCTTGTCCGTCTTGGCTTTTCAGTTTTTTTTCCTAAAAGTCGTGTAATCTGATGAGAAAAAATTCAACTGCGATGGTCCAGACGGAAATTGGCCCTACTGGTCCTATCTTAGGGAAGAGAAGCTTCATTTTTCCAGGCGAAACTTCAGAGGGGGTGGTGTCATGGTCTGGGCTGCTTTCACATCGACGGGACGTCCAAAGTTGTGCTTCGCATCGAAGAAAATCAATTCTTCCGACTATGTAAAGGTCATGCGACGAGGTCTGCTTCCTCTCTGGCGAGGATTCGTCATGAAAGTCGTGTGTTCATGCAAGACAATGCACCAGTTCATGTCAGCCGAAGCATTTGATCGTGGTCCAGTCGTCATCAAATCGCTCTTTTGCCGTGGCCAGCAAATAGCCATGACTTAAACCCAATCGAGAATGTGTGGGGCTTCATGGTACGCAAGATCTATGCGAACAATGCACGATTCCATGATGTCCGTGAGCTGAAGGAGTCAATAATTGATGCATGGCAGCATGTCGACCGAAAACTGATTTAAAACCCCTATTCGAGCGTAGACAACCGCTTTTTCCAACTTATTCGAAGGAATGGAGCTGCAATAGATTATTGAATTAACAATTCGTTTGTTTTGTTGTACACTTGTTGTTTTACGAATCGATTTCCTTAGTACCATACTTTTGAGACATTGTCAAAGTGAAAATTTTCGAGAAGTGAAGAAAATTGAAGTTGCTTTGGAAAACTAGTTCTCGGTGTTGGCATACAAATTGGCACTGGTAATTAACACATTTTCTATCTGAAGGCCTTTTCGAAAACGTCGAAATTATCCGGCGGCTCACATTGAAAGTAGAAGAAGAAGGAGTCAGGCACTGAGGGTTGTCGTCATCATATTGTAAGTAGCTCAGTTCTCCTGAAGCAAGGGTCGTAGTGGGCGTGGGGAAAGTTGGGTGTAGTATGGAGCAGTGGACGGGGCGTTGCTCTCGTCGCGAGCGAATCGCGCCTTCCCCACGTGTTTTTCGGGCCCGGAAAACTGGGACATCCTCTGGGCTTTCTTTTTCAAAAAAGGTTTCTAAACATCAATCAAACGCGGAGCCTGTCCTTGAACAGAGTGGTGTTGCTGAAAAGATTCCAATCTACTCTACCTGATTTGAAACACGAACCTAAGCCGTTAATTGAAGAGCAAAGCGACATAGAAATGCCTCAATTCAAGGCTGATCCCAACCTGGTCACTCGTACAGTAATCTTGTACCATCATAGAGGAGATTATCATGGCAGTATAGAGATACAGTAGTAAAATGTGAGATTGAACTCATGATACCTAAAGAGATAAAGGAATACGACAACAGCAGGAATGGGCGCGCCAGTTGAAGTTGTGATTAAAGTATGACAGTAATACAAGTAATCACTAGATACGACAGTTATTACTGTTACGAGCATGTAAAACAACTGGCCCTAATTGAATATATTGCTGTATATAATGAAGAGACGAAAATGTCATGGTGAGGAAGATGTGTTTCTTCGTCTCGGACATGACCTCCTGCAAATAGAATGGCACAATTACCGCAGCGAGCAATGTCAAAGTGGAACTTCGCCGTCCGTTGTCCCGCTTGCGGGCTCGAAAAAAACTCAGCAAAAATCAGCTGTCAAAGGAAGGAAGGGCAGAATGGAATAGAGCAGTTCCCGAATCAGTCGCTAATTCTTCGATCTCCTACGAGCCTCCCGCTGTCGCAGCTTACCTGTCTTCAGAAGTAATGAACACTGTTTTCTATCCTTCGTCGTTGATCAATCCCTTTGTGGATGCGGCACGCATTCTACTTCCATTCAGCAATCGTAGTGGGTCTCTTCAGTTTTACTTTCTGTTAATTTCAGGTTATCATTACGAAACGTGAAGCTTATGAGAATTAGCGTTTCCGTTGATTCTGAAAAAAGCACAACCGACAAAGTTGACCTTGCAGACATTCAGTCGACCCATGCCTCACGTTTTTTATTTCTTTAGTAAATTTCAAACACAGTATTAAGGACACTATAAAAAATATAGATATTCACAATAAACTAGTCAGTGATATATTTCCCATTGCTTTCTTACAGCCTCCTACCACAGATCAGCCAGCGGTCAATGCCTTCTCGCGTAAAAATCCATAACATTTCATATTACCAATGCAAATAATTCGTCGAATAAACAGTTACGATGATAGTTGCACAAAGGAATAACCGAATATTAACCGAATATTTTTTATTACCAATTCAACGTGACCTCAAACTTGGGTAATTAAACAAAGTAGCAACGAAAACAACGACGAACAACAACGTGAGGCGAGTTAGAACAGGACGGCCCATAATAAACGATAAATTTATCTCCCCCCTCCTCTATACGGCCGGATGTGCGGCGACCTAGCGTCGTGATGATGTGCGGCGGCGTCCTGGCGTAGTGGTGGTGTGTGACGGCGTCGTCGATGAAGAGGGATGTGATGACTTGTGGGCCTCGGCCCATTTTGGGCCCGAGAGTGGGTTTTTTTCCCGCCACTGGCCCCTTTCGTGTCGGGGCGTGACACTGTATTTGTATTGGAGCGCGTTTTTTCTGCTTCTGCTCCCTTGAAGATTGATCGCGTTTCCGCGCCTCTACTATCGATCGCATACCTGTTATCGATCGCATGACTGCGATATTCCCCGGCGCACAAAGTCAAAAGGCTTGTCCCGCTAGTATAAAATAAAAGTGGACTGTTAGGCGCTTGCGAGGGTGGAGGATTGTCCAGCGTATGAAGTATGAGCTAGCGGATTGTGCAGCATATATGAAGTATGAGAACATTCCCCGGCGCTTACGAGGTTTGGTGGACTGTTTAGCGTATAACATATGAGAGCGTTATCCGGCGCATATAAAGGAAGAGGGAAAAATTTGATTGACTTGCTCATATATGTACTTTTTGTGGTATTCGACATTATCGCTTCTTAGGCGCATATAATGTTTTGTTATAAAATCTTTCTGTAACTATTTGAGCTTCAACGGTTGTCATCTTGACTTCCCAGGCCTTGGTCATTGGGTCTACCCCCGGTGGCGAGTGGCTCTTTGTGTTTTCTCCAGAGTTCTCAGTTCTAACAGATATCGAGAGCGCTCTTCCCTGGCCTGCTGTAGCCTGCCTTGCATCTCATCGCTGTATTCTGGGAACGCGCAGATCGCTGAGTGGTGTCCACGGGATCTGCAGTGGTAGCATTTAGCAAAGTATTTACGACACGTGGAGCGGCCGCCAAGACAGTATCGTTCCAGATTTTTCGCATTTTCCTTTATCCCACAACCAGTCGCGTCGCCGGCTGACTCCACGTTTTTTTTCCGGTCTTTGAAGTGCTCTGGGACAGTTTTAGAGAATTTTCGTCTGGCTCCGCCCACCTCGGGCTGGCCCCGCCCGCAATATGTCTACCACATATTTCTCAATCGGCGACCCCTTGCTGACCTGAATCTTTATTCCGGTCTTCGGAGTGCTCTGAACCGTTTTACAGACCTTTTTGTCTGGCTCCGCCCACCTCGAGGCAGACCCCGCCCGCAATTTTTGTGCCCCACACTTTTCACCGACGACAGTCTGCTGACCTTAATCCACTTTTTACTTTTTTCCTGTGTGTGTGTGGTTCTGGAACCTGGTTCCATAAGATGAATTTTGTCTGGCTCTCGCCCGACCCTCGAGGCATGACTCCGCCCCCTAATTATTGTGCCTCCACACTTTCACACCGACGACGAAGCTCTGCTGACTGTATCCCACATTTTTTCCGTCGCGTGTCCGGAGATTCTGGAACCGTTTATACAGACCACTTTTGTTGCTGGCGCCGCCTACCGTCATAGCAGCTTCGCATACAAATTGTTTTTCCCCTGCACATCTCTTAACCGATCGACCCTCTGCTGAACTCTATCCACTTTTTTTCCATCCGCATCTTGAGACTGTTCGTGGAAACGCCGGAGCGTACAAACTTTTACACGTAGTATCCTAGCGGTTTAAGGGCAAGCTCCGCCCATGTGGCCGAGTCTCAAACACACGGAGCGAGCCGCCCATCATTCGCCGGATATTATTACAATTCTAACACTGAGTTTTTTTGCGACTTGCAAACACTCTTCATGCGAACCGGGTTACTGAATTTGCGAGAAGCACCGCGCCTACCCTGAGTACGCGCCGACACCTATTTAGGGTTACTTACTGTCCACAGTTAGTCCTGTGTGACTCCTTTACTAACCTTACATTCACCTTTTTCTCCCCCATGCTTTGAAGCTGCTCCGGAGCGAATATGAACATTTTTTCTGCGGAACACACAAACTTTCGGCGAGTGCCCGCCCACTAGTGCCGGGCTTGCCATAGGTCAAGTGTGCTTTTAATTTCTTGTCCCATGCTCTAGCGCATACCCACATTACCCCACCTGGACCGTCTCTAAGTCGTTCTTCAGTCAGAACCTGACAGTTAGTTCGGAGGAAGACAAACAAACTACAAACCTACTCAAACAAACATAACAAACAAACAGACAAAGCGATGTCCATCGATGAACCTCCTTCTTCATGCTCGTGGATGCAAGAAATTTTGACTGGGATAGCGTTGCAGGTGACTTTCTCATGGACTTAAAGCGTGTGCGCCAAGTTTTTCGCCATTGTAAATTCTTGAAACTGTCTGTCTCGTGCGAGCATGCCATTGAGACTTTCTGATAGGTTTGAATTTGAGCACAGCAGTCCTTTAAAGAGTTTATTTAATCGTTGTCTGTAGGCAATTCGTAATAAATCACAGCCACAACTGGAAAACGGATAAACACTCGAGACAACTGATGCAGCGCGGCTTTCGATTCGGTCGATGAACGCAGTCGTAGTTGAAATTTCTTCATTTTGTTTCGGCCAGCGCTACAAATTCTCGCCTGGGTTTGGTGTCAATGTCCATGTGTCTGAAACATATAATAATGAACTTGCGATTAAATTGACTTGTGAGAAAGTCAATGAATATCAAGGAGAAACGTTTGAGCGTCATTTATTCTAACTTCCGCAAGTTTATGACATATTGTTCAACCTTGAACTTGTGATTTCAGCTTTAATTAATAGTATGGTCGCTTGATTCAGCCTCCGGGCGGCGTTAAACCGTATAGTCCGCCCAGCGCGATGAATCAAACAATCAGACTAGCTGTTACGATAGTACAAGCAGAAACATAATGAAGTGACCAATTATTTGGTTGACAGCATAAGTACTTTTCCGTTTTTTTTTTCAAGACCGGAATTTCTTCGTGTCCAAATGAGAAATGTTTTGCTAGCAAGCTTGATATCAACAACTTCATCACGTAAGTTCTAGATTATCAAAACGGCTTTCGGTTTGAGGAATATTGTTTGTTTTTTAGTCGTTGCAAGTTGAAGCGAAGTCGCGCAAAATTAGCACGTTCGACAGCTGCCTTCTATTTACGTCAATAGTCCGAAGTGCTAAAAATCGCTTAAGCCTGCTATCCAGTAAACATTTGGGAAAAGGTTGAGACTAGAAGTTCCAGCAAGGGAACCTCACTAGGACGCTTTGGAACCAGTACACATACCTTGAAGCGTCGACACAGTTCTGGGCTGTTCGAAGAGAGAGAGGGCACATCTCGTACACTCGCGAATTTCTCCGCCGAGCGCATCAGCAGCATCTGACACCTCTGTTACATGCGAAAAAACCACGCTAGGAGATGTCTGAATGTGCTGATGCTACACGACCTGACATTCCATAATTATCCTAACCTCGAAAAACAAGCGTTCATTAAAACGAATTTTCAAAAATAACTGCACACGCACAGTAATTCATTAGAGCACGAAACTGGCTATCAGAAATATAGAAACACCATTACGAAACATCGAAATGTTAAGCATAAAATCGTGGAGAACGGAACGCTAACTCTCACCGAACTTCGCATTCCGTAACGCCTAACCTGTACTTAACAAAAGTCAAGCACATCTGGGAACAGATTTCTATACCAGATGTTATAGACATTGAAATTTGCTATCAGAACATGCAAAACCTATCGGCGAAACATGTCAAAAATAATTAGCATATAAATTTCAGGTGGAACAGACGTGATCTGCCACTAAATCGGCCTGAGTGAATGTTGGTAACTAACTACAAATTTCTTGAAATTTCCTAGTGAGATTTTCCTTGCTGGACAACATTCTAGCTCAAGCCTTTTCCCCAATGAATGGAGCAGCTTCAAGCGAT